GTCAACCCTCTGTATCTGCAGGTTCCGCATCCACAGATTGAAAGTAGTTGGAAAAATAAAAAATAACTATACAACAATTTAAAATGATACAAATAAATAAACAATACAGAGTAACAGCTATTTACATAGCAGTTCCACTGTGTTAGATGTTATAAGTAATCTGGAGATGATTTAAAATACTTGGGATTGTTGCACAGGTTATATGCAAATACTATGCCATTTTATATAAGGGACTTCAGCATCCAAGGATTTTGATAGTGCAGGGGGTCCTGGAACCAATTCCTGGGTTCCCTTCCAGAGAGTTCTCAAAAACTGGAGTCTCCAGTACTTCCCAGGCACCTGCTCCGTCCTGGAAGCCTGTGTGACCGGATCACAGGGTTCCACAATGGGCTTTCACACAAATGACCTCGTTTCTTGGGACTCAGTTTCCTAATCTGTGAAATGGGTTGTCCTGGGGATTAACCGAGGTTGGTAAAGCACCCACACTAGCAGGCATTCAATAAAGAGGCACTGCTGTTTATTTTTATTTTATCCTCTTAGTAGATATTTATCATGCTCGCCAAGAACCTGTGCTTACTGGGTGCCCCCATGCATCACCGCCGTTCCAGATGTTCACGAGCATGTTATCTCTTTATCCAGCTCCACGGCCAATGAGGAGGTCTGTGCAGTGTCCCCGGCGGCTCCAGGGAGGAGTTGGCTGAGGCTGGTGGGGCACCTGGGTGTGTGTGCATCTGACTAGTTGGGACACTACCCTGAGTCAGGCATCCTGTTAGGGTCTGTCCTCTCTTTGCCTATTGGGAGGGTTCCCAGTGGGGCGTTAGGCCACTGTGTGGCTCAGCTTCCTCTACTCCCTGGGTTCCGGAGTCCCTGCCTGGCCCAGGAAGGGACCCGTTGGGAGACTTTGGGGATATTTGTCCATTTTGGATGGAGGTGGGGGCCGGGCTATGTCCACCCTCAGGGAAACTCTTATGAATGGAGATTGGTGGGACTCAGGGTCCCAGGCTATGGCCTGCAAGGGACACACCCTGTCCCCCATTCCTGTCCTCCCTACCCTCCGTCCTGCCACCCTGCCCTCACTCCAGATTCACCCACGGGCCTGGGCATGGCCACACAACACGTTTGGATGTTGATCAAGTAACACAGAGATAGTGAGCATTGGAGTTTATTTTGTGGGTCATGGGAGATGGGAGAGGAGAGGGGCCTCTGGAGACCCTTCCATGAACCCCAGAAACTGTCCATTGGGGCAGTTTCCTGTCACCAGGCACTTCAACCAACAGCATCCCAGAAACGGCTGACATGCATTGAGGATTTACTGTGCACAGGCCCCCAGAATGGCTCATGTGGAGTCATGTGTCACAGGAGCCCTAGGAGGAGGGATCACTTCCTGTCTCCATTTTACAGATGAGGAAACTGAGGCACAGAGCGGCAAAGCCCTTGGCCATGAGCCTGCAGCCAGGAGTCTGGGTCTAGCCCTCTGGGTGCACTCCTGGCCCTGCACTGCTCTGAGCTTGGCACACATGTGTTTCAAATGTTCACAGCCTGGGGGGCACAGCAGGGCGTCATGGTGTCTGAGACTTGCACCTTCAGCAGCACGGGGCTTACAGGATCCGGGTGCAAATCCTGGCTCTGATGATCAGTACTCATTGTGGGACCCTTGGCAGGTCACTGCCTCTCTTGGGGCCTTGGTTTCCTCATCTGTAAAATGGACAGAGACACTTAGAGATCACTGCCTCAGCCCCACCCTTCCCTCCTGCCTATAACAGAACCTTATTCATTCTAGACAGCCACATTTCCCAGACTCCCCTGCAGCAAGGTGTGGCCTTGTGGCTCTGTTCTAGTCAGTAAGATACAAGCAGAAGAGTCCCAAGACCTCTCAGGAAGACTTCCACAAGACAACAAGCCGGCTCTGGCCTTTGCCTTTTTATCTGAGCGAAGAGGTGAAGGCTGGAGCCCTGGCAGCTATTTTGCATCATGAGGCAACCTTAAGGCCAAAAGCCAGGGATGCTGCGAACTGAGAAAGAAATCAAATCCTACTACTACTGCAGCTGAGTCTGGATCTATCTTTAGGATATCCTCTTGCTGCCTTACACCAGGGCTCTATCTCTGATCCTTGGGCTCACACCAGTGTAGAGTCCTTCCCTGTGGCCCCTGGCCTGTGGCCCAGCATGCTACGCATTTCATGGGTGATCCCATCCCAGTGCCCCATGCCAGCCAACAGTGTCCGATGCATTCGGGATGCAGGCAGACTGCTCTCCCGGCCTCCCCCCAGGGCTGTGGGTGCTGTGGAAGTGGCTGTGGCCCCAAGGGAGTCCCCAGGCTCTGGATAGGATGAATAGGGGGTCCAGCGATGGGTACCCTGCTGGGGCTGAGCTCTGGGGCTGATGTTGGAGACTTCAGTGGGGCGGGTGGGGTCGTCTTCAAAGGATGGCAGGGACACCTCATGGAGGCCACGGCGGGTGGCCCGGGCAGCCCGCAGCAGAGTGTG